ACTAATATGACGGAACATTCTCATTTTGTCTTCAATGTCAGCAGAATCAATACCGATACCTTAGGTTTCCATGACAGAGTCTCAGATTCCTGGTAAGGGACCATTCATAATTTATGTCTAGGGGTGATGGTGATTTCAAGGGCGTGTGGGTTGGGGGTGTCACCCATTTTGTTCTGGGGAGGTAGGGGGTTAAAATGTATGCTTAGAAATTATGGGAAGTGGGGCGGGACATTGATTTTGTACATGACACGTAGGGGGGTTCACTTACTTTGCACAACTGCATTGCTAATACCACATTGGTCTTATCGATTAAAACTGTCTGACGGTACGGGTGTCGACGCAATTCGCTGTGTGAATGAGTGAGTATGGTTTTACGCCTCTTTTAGAAATATACCGGCAATATCAGGATGGAGGACACCGGAAATGGTCTGCTCAAATTGTACCAATGCGGGGATTCGAACCCGTGTCTTCAGCGTGACGAGCGGACGCTTGAACCACTGGGCTACCCCACCGCCTCGCACTTCACTGTGCATGGCGGCATCCTTTGAGTACACTAGACACCTAGGACTGTTGGAACGACTTCACCTGATCGTGTGTCTGTGTGTGCAGAACCATGCCCGTGCTCGAGGGTGTCAGTGGAGTGTCGTTGAAGACACTTCAGGCTTTCCTCAAGAATCTGACACGCTGTGACATAACTGCAATACTTGCTCATCTATTCAGACCATGTCCAGAGGTCCAGGTTTCTGTACAGGTTGCTGTACTGACCGATCTATCAACTTGGTGGTATGTTCTTGTTCAATCATCAAATCAATTTCACTTTCGTGATTTGGATGTGGTTTCTCTATTTTCATCCTGTCATACCTTGTGTAGCATATCTCCCAAGTGTTGCGATATTTGAAAAGGAAGGAGGTCTGTGTAAATTATAGCCCTTCTTTGAACTATTTTATTGCTTTTGTATGTGAAATAAATTCATTGATATTTTCATACGTTTGGGGATGTATGTACGGTATATGGGTACGGCTGTAACAAAATAATTGACAGTCTGTTTTCATCATGCCTTTGTACAAACATCCAAAGTATAAGAAAGCTCTCGATGTGGGTGAAACTAAAGCTTGTCAGTATGTTCATTCGCACCAGCTCCAAATACTCAAGCCGCCTCTACCGACGGTAAAGTTTAAATGACACACTTAGGTCTATTTCGGTCTTGTGCCAACTGAGAATAGGTTTATTCGCATAACCATGCGATGCGAGTCTACAATACTGATGTAAATACTTACATCAATACGCTTAGGACGGTTTCATTTTCCTCCTCAGAATACTTTCAAGTAAAGTTAAGGTACATTATTCCAATAAAAACGTGTCTTGCATGTGAAAACTCATTATAGTCTTCCCTTTTCTTGTGAAGGGGAAGTAACATACCCCTGCCCTTCATCTGTAAAATAACATTTGTTTCAGGATGTCATAGCATCCTGTTTACATGAATCGAAAAAGACACGATGTACCAGTAGTGCAACAGAGTTGGGGTTTGTTTTGAAAGCCTGAAAGCGTGTATGGTAAATAACACATGAACGTGTAGCTTATGATACATACTAAACTTGAGTGAGGTATATCGTCCAACAATTATTCGTTAAAGTATGTCCACTGACGCATTCATCATTGAAATATGGTATATGAAGCATTCTACATTGAAATAAAGTATGTGAAGCCCACTACATTGAAAAGTGGTCTGTGAAGCATGCTACATTGAAATATGGTCTGTGAAGCATTCTTCATTGAAATATGGTCTGTGAAGCATTCTTCATTGAAATATGGTCTGTGAAGCATTCTTCATTGAAATATGGTCTGTGAAGCATTCTACATTGAAATATAGCCTGTGAAGTATTCTACATGGAAATATGATCTGTGAAGCATTCTACATTGAAATATGGTCTGTCAAACATTCTACATTGAAATATGGTCTGTCAAGCATTCTACATTGAAATAGGGTCTGTCAAGCATTCTACATTGAAATATGGTCTGTCAAACATTCTACATTGAAATATGGTCTGCTACACTAAAATATGGTCTATGAAGCATTCTACATTGAAGTATGGTCTGTGAAGCATTCTACATTGAAATATAGTCTGTTGAGCATTCTACATTGAAGTATGGTCTGTGAAGTTTCTACATTGAAATATGGCCTGTGAAGCACTCTACATTGAAACATCGATAAGTCATTCTATATTACAATGCCATCTTAGTAAATACATACCTACATTATATTAATCTGAGAAAACGTATAATCATTAGTATTTCCCGTATTTGATTGGTATTAATTGTGGTGATTATATCGTACATGTTTTGACTAGGATGTTCCTGTTTAACAGTAGTTAATGTCCCAGTGACAATCTACTTTTAGCTCAATAAAATAATTGTACTAAAGATTAAACCCCAAAACGAAGCAATCGCAATCTTGGTGAATAAATAAATGTGCCCTTTTCAACAGTTTAAAACTGAAATAAAAAAACATTGAATAAAAAATCCCTCCACTGAAAACCCGGAAATGATAAATTGATCTCAATCCTTTGACATTCTGGGGCCTGCTGTCGTCAAATTGGATTTTTTTCGATAAATAATACTTAAAATTGTTGAGTATTTGTGTTCTCCACATTGAGCTTCCAAAAACTGTGGAGTTGCTATATAGTTTTTATATATGCTAAATAGTTGGTTTGAAAATATAAAACAAATTGGGATAATTCTCCTTTCCTGTGAGATAACAGCTGGTGGAAGGCCAACCCAAAATAAAGCATGTAACGGAAATAGTGATTTAGGACAGTCATTTACATTGTCAGTGTTTTTAAAGTTTGCATATGTCAAATGGTGGTTGGTGTTTAATGTAACACGAGAGCTGCGTCGTATGTTAAGGAGATTCAGTTGTGTAAATGTCACATATTTGAGCTTTTGGTGTACACGAACGACAAATAGCATACATGTTTTTATCTTTTAAAACATGTCTTGCAAGTGTTCACATTATTCATATTCATGTCATCATCATCATCATCATCATCATCATCATCATCATCATCATCATCATCATGTATCACGGGGATACGACAAAAGGTGTCCCGAGTAGTTGTTGGAACGGTTTGGAAAGCAACGTACACATCGAGAATATCATCCCTGTTGCTCTCACCTGTCATCATGCCCCGGTGTAGGACTTTTAGGTTCTTTTAGCTCTTGCTTGGCTACGTTAGAATCGCAAATTCATCCCACCTGCACCTGGTAGCCCTTTGAAATGCCCTCACGCCTTGATCTACACCAAATTGACCTAGTCTGAAGCGACGTCTTCGAGGGGCTATCAGCTGTTGCACTACTCAAATATTGTTGCGCTCTCTAAAAATGATATGCTATGAGTCACCCACGACGCACAGCCTATCCCGTACCCCGTAAACACCGTACTTTATTACTGAATGCCATCATATAACTGAGGGTAATCTTTGTCTGGTAAAACTTTCAAGCAAAGAAATGCACTTTTTCTGTTAGATTGATTTATTATGACCTATTCTGGAAATAATTGTGTATCTGAGATATTTTATGTTTGTCTCACTCGACGTCTCAGAAGAGACATACGCACACACTCATCCACTCACTTATAGCCCCCCCTCTCTCTCTCTCTCACACACACACACACACAGAGTGACAGAGTGAAAGTGAGAGAGAGAAATAGAGAGAGGGAGTAACATGAATTTTATTGAGCAAATGTTTACACTGTGTTAGGTAAGTACAACAAGTAAGGTCCGTGTGACCGTTGGAAACTGGTCAATGTTGTTTATACTGGAAGTGCTTTCATCCATCGACACGCACTGTTTCAAGAACCATTCGAGGGGTAGAACATTTCTATTATTACTCAACCCACGTAATTGTTCTAACCTGAACCTGGACAATACATGTATTTTGTTTCACTCTCTGTAGAAGTGCACATACATATTATGATCTGCCTCGTATTGATCACATCCCGTCATATTAATGGGGCCAGTTCGTTATGCCCGCGAGTGACAGCTGCTGTCTTGAGCTTCCGTTCGTCCTCATTACAGCTTCATTGCCTACAGAAAACCTGCACAACGCGAGCGCGTTGTAGGGGAAAAGCTGTAAACATGCACAGTGAGTGAGTGAGTGAGTGAGTGAGTGAGTGAGTGAGTGGTGAGTTTTATACTGTATCGCCTGAGTGAGTGACGCCACGGTCAGCATAATTTTGACAATATATCAAAGGTGGTCTGTAACAATGGAATTTCGACCAGGCAAACCGGTGACTAAACCATGGCACACGATCCACACCATGCACGTGGGTGCACGGCGACAATCAATCAAACAAATCAGCGTGATCTGGTCAAATGCAGTCGCCTTTTACGACAAACAATGATATTTCAAGTTTGCTTCCACATTGAGCACGTAGAGTGAGTGAGTATGGTTTTACGCTTTCAGCAATATTCCAGCAATATCATGGCGGGGGACACCAGAAATCGGCTTCACACATAGTACCCATATAGAGTGAGTGTTATGACCTAACCTTGGTTGGTGGTGATCGTTAGCCTGTGTTTATAATGTGCCGTAGAATGATGGTATATTCTTTAGCCCTCTCAAACTAGTTTTAACAGAAATCTCTGATAGTCTAATTATTATACTGCGCTCAGCTGACAGGACTTGAAACAGCATAAATGTCCTTGCTGTAAATGTAAACATCATTATTTTCCCAATACATTAATGGCGGTCTGTATTAATGGAATCTGGACCAGGCAAACCAGTGACTATGCAGTCGCATCTTACGACCCGCAGTGATTTTGAAGTTCGTTTCAGTGCGGAGATACTGCGAAAAGCTCTAATGTTTTGCAGTTAACTCAGTTAACTGAACGAGGGGCGTGTGGCTCACTGGTAACCCTTCTGACGATTGGTTATGTAATAAATTCATATGATTAGACATCTAGCTCCTTTTATAAGGACAAGGAATATCTTGTGGTATTCACATCGACTGCTGTCAGGATGAAGTTTGTGATAATTCTTGCGGTTTTGGCTCTCCTCTCTGCTGGTATGTAAACAATTTATTGTTGTGTTTTCTGTGTATAATACGTCATTGAAAGCCGAAGTTACCCCTATTTCCATTCTCTCTTATGAACATGTTCCTATCATTCTGAATCTCTGTGTAAGATCTTTATATGAAACAGACTTCTATTTCTATTTTCTGTGGTGAATATGTGAAAGGGGATTGCTATTCGATCATTAATAAACGACATCAGGTCATCGATATATCTGAGACTAAAGTTCCGATAATGCACAATTATTGCTCTTTGGGACGTCCAGTGCCTGTTCTATTTCCACAGATCCTGCTTATCATACATTGTGCTCTGAGTAACTTTCATGGGACATGTGTGATATTTTTGTACCAATTGTCCTGAACGGTTTGAAGACAGAGTATCCGGTTTTGAGTGGCTTAAAAAGAGGGAGAGTGAACCTGTACCAGCACGAGAGTGCCTTACCCCATCGTGCAGGAACGTATTCGAGCCAGTCATGGATGTCCTGGATACACCAGCGTCGGAGCTGCTCATTGAAGATGGCCGTCTAAGTCTTGATTGCAGGTCAGGATGAGAATTGTAAGATTAAAACATATTTAAAATATGTATATAATAAGGTGTTTTGATTTGCGCTGGTTCAAACGCTCTTGTTATATTGCAATAGTACATTGCACATAATGCTTAAAAATTATTTTGGTAAGATGGGACATGTGTTGTTTGGTAATGGAATCGTTGCAAAACGTGAGTGACAAGAAAAGAGTATGCACAAGGCTGTGATAAGATGGATTACTTCTCCTAGCAGCAGTGACATGAGTGATTTTTAGTGACCCATTCCCACATACCTCACAGTTGGAATCTGTTTTGGTAGAAATTCGAGTCGGATTATTCCCTGTCGTTGACGGCTTACATTCAATGTTCACATTGTCAAAGAGTTTCCAAATTTCACAACTTTCAAACATGCTCTTTCAGCGAAGATTTCAAATATCGTCTTATACCTCTGGTATCACAGTAGTACAAGGCCTTATCAAATCTTTCAAATGTTTTGCATGGTGTAATAAATGCTCGCGTTTTCTGCATTTCCCTTCCCTAACCATCATTTCCCTTCCCTTCATCCTCCCTAATCATCATTCATCATTTCCTTCCTAATCATCATTTCCCTTCCCTAATCATCATTTCCCTTCCCTAATCATCATTTCCCTTCATTTCCCTTCCCTAACCATCATTTCCCTTCCCTAATCATCATTTCCCTTCCCTAATCATCATTTCCCTTCCCTAATCATCATTTTCCTGCTTTTGCTTTCATAATCAACTTCGGACAACGTCATGTTTTGACGTACGTACTTTCAACTTCGACACATCCGTGTTTACTCGTGAAGGTCCGGGTTAGAATACTGATCTTCAGTAACCCATGCTTGTCGTAAGAGGCCACTAACGAGATCGGGTGGTCAGGCTCCCTGACTTGGTTGACACATGTCATCGTATCCCAATTCGCAGATCGATGCTCATTCTGTTGATCACTGGATTGTCTGGTCCAGACTCGATTATTTACAGACCGCCGCTATATAGCTGGAATATTGCTGAGTGCGTCGTAAAACTAAATTCACTCACTATTGAATTACTTGGGGTTTTTAAATGAACAAACTTGTTTCCAACTCCTCAGTCATTACATCATGTAAAACTGTTTGCTGTTACATTCCACATGGACCAAGTCGCTTTTGGGGAAGTGGATGGAACGTTTGGAATAGCCATCTTTGAATTGTCATCTCAAAGTGAAAAAGCGCATCTGTAGTTAATTACTCGATACACCCATCCTTAAAACCACATATAGACACTTTTTGCTTGTCGTCAAGTAATTATGACGGTCGTGAAATTACGTTAGAAGATGATACTTGACTGCCGCTCGGATGCTGCAAACACACACACACACACACACACACACACACACACACACACACACACACACACACACACACACACACACACACACTGCCACACACACACACACACACACACACACACACATGGCTATTGAAGGGAACTTAACGATGTGAAATCAATCCAGTTTTGCCACCCACACCTACATGTCCACATCACACTGGTTGATACCGGTATTTCGAAATTGGTTGTGTCGAACTTCAGGTTGTCTCGAAGTTGATATTCGGTTTTCTGCATTTCCCTTCCCTAACCATCATTTCCCTTCCCTAATCATCATTTTCCTTCCCTAATCCCTTTTGCTTTCATAATCAACTTCGGACAACGTCATGTTTTGACGTACGTACCTTCAACTTCGACACATCCGTGTTTACTCGTGAAGGTCCGGGTTAAAATACTGATCTTCAGCAACCCATGCTTGTCGTAAGCGGCGACTAACGGGATCGGGTGGTCAGGTTCGCTGACTTGGCTGACACATGTCATCGTATCCAAATTGCGCAGATCGATGGTCATGCTGTTGATCACTGGATTGTCTGGTCCAGACTCGATTATTTACACACCGCCGCTATATAGCTGGAATATTGCTGTGTGCGGTCGAAAACTAAACTCACTCACTCACTCACATCCGTGTATTATTGTTATCTGCCGTCATGTCTACCGCATGATGTTATAATGTGACTTTCAGTTGTGACATGTGGCCTCCTCTTTTTTTATCCTACAAACCCTTTGCGCTGATTTTACGATTATATCACATTAAGAGAAAACAATTAACGTTATAAGATTTTGCAAGTATATATTTGTTATACCATTTTGTCCTTTCAGCCGACAGACACTGAATGAAGCAGACGAATGCACAAACCCTTCATCGTTCTTGTGTGATTCACCATACCAAATAACTCTGAAAGTTAACGCTGCCCTCAATATCTTCTGTAGAAACAAAGCAGGTACATGCAGTTTGGGCATTTCTACAATGAACATCATGTGAACTGTCATGTCGAGTACGACATTCAGTGTTAATAATGTAACTATGCACTAGATGGCCAACTCATCACAGGGTGTTCACAAGGTCCATCATGTCCGAAGTGATAAAGGATAAGTATGGAAGAGTGGCTTTCATATGGAATACGAGAACGGACATTGTCGCGTTGTCGCATTGTCGCGATGTCGCCCTCTCAAAAACAAGCAGAATGAGGCAAAATTAACCAAAGCGCGACAATGCGACAACGCGACATGCGGATCAATTCAATTCAGCAGAGAAGACCTGTTAAAACATCACATTGACAACACGACCCATGGAAACACTGTTTTCTCTAAATCCACGTTACAGTCCACAACCTTCATGTCGAAGTTGAATGTGTTGTAAGTACTTCGAGCTATCCCAGATTCCACAAAACCGAAAATGATGACCAGAGAAAGCATACTTTTACTTCTTGACAGTTGTAAGTTCGACATATCTAACTCAACGATATTTGATTGTATTATGACGTCGGATATTATGTGTTTCGTTTAATTATATGTTTATCAGATATCGAGAAGGAACCATCCTGCTGGACCAATAGCAATCTGCTGAGAACTACAATGGCATGTTATAATGATGACAGGTAGGACATTCTGTACGATACCATATCAATACAATAAGATTATGCTTGGCAGGAGTTCTGCTGTGTGACGTCAGGCAACGAAAACAAATTTGTAAATGGTGGGTGCTACAGGTGAGGCAGGACATCGAGAACACCGGGTGTCATCACTGCTTTTAAGGGATCTATTCATATACTTTGAAGGCTACTTTGCCCTTCACGCCAAATGAAATCTATCTGATGGCTGGATATGTTCTTGCCTTGACGTTCTATAGTGATACGGGTAGGTGATGCGCGCACTCAATCTCTCAGTTTACTGAGTTGACACACTGAGTGTTTTAACTGACAAAACACATCTGTCCACCCGTAGAGTTGCACAATTGACACGGTTTAACCTACATGTACACCTCGTAACGTGGTTGTTGGCCTTTCTAACACAAACCAAACCGAAACATTAACATAGGTACCTACTTCGTCGACCAGATATGGATAATTGTTGTCCACACATGTATAGTCTGACTACAGGGAGGTCTATGGTGCGTGTGTTGAACGACGTGTGGGCAACCTTACTGAGTGCTCTGGAATCGCAGGGGCCATCATGAGGGAGCTGATGTTGGCACTGCTTGAGTAGATGTCTGGATACAGATCGTTATGAAACAACTGGGACCGGGCTTTTCATGTAAGAAATGGTTTTATTATACAATAAATTGTTCTGCACGTGCTTTGTCGCTTCAGATATTTTTTAAATGATTGACGTTGAAATTCAGTTCTTTCGTTGCTACCATCACGGTGTTGAAAGGGGTACTATATATAATACGAATTATAGCAATACCAATTTATTGCCGATTGAGACTTACGTTGACATGTATTATATGACGCTATTGTCATTTATTCCATTTACCCATAAAAATGTGTGACCCTTTGAAGAGAGCGTCAGAGCCAGGCACGTTTTACCTGACTGTGTAGATTGTTGTGTATGTTGTTTTTGGGGGGTTGTTTTTGCTGATTGGTGACCAAAGTGATGATGTAACTCCTGCTGGGAATTATGCAGAAATAGGCAGCATGATCTCAAGTAAGGTGGTCCAACTTTGGTTGCTACTGGTCCAGTTTAAACTTCTACTAAATGCTTAGAAATGACTTCCTCGGCAATGTAGGAAGTCCCGTTCCGTCGAATGTCAGCCTTGCCACCACTCTTGCCTTGTTCAGACATTTACACATATCCACATTCACATCTTCCTTCATGTCCCCATGTCACGCACTTGTTGTATCCAATGAAGATGCGCAGATCGTCCCTGCACAACACATACTCCGCGTCTCCACTCATCAACCCATTGGGACTGAAAGTGGTGTGTTCTAGAGATCAGTAAATAGATTAAACAAACTCTCTGGTTCAATCACTCGTGAGAGTCTGTAATAGTGACAGGCGAGTTTTGTTTACAGCTTGGATCTTGGTAATTTAATTCCGTGTTTTGCTCGTGACAAATCAGTCCAGTTTGACCGTCTCTCTTCTAAGTCTATCACCTCAAGAATGTAACACAACACTGGACAAGACAATATCAGATGTGTTGTTCATCATAAAAACAACAACATGTATACGGCGCCTTAGACTCGACAACAAAGAGTTATCTTCCGCATTAATGTATACATTTGGGGAAGGTAAAGTATTCCCTGAAGTGTGTTCGGTAACTAATAAAACGAACGCTAGAATTTAATAACTTTCACAGTGAACTACCGTAAACGAAGAACATCTAGATCTCAGTGACAAAAACAATGTTGTTAGAGTGTGATTGTAGCACAACTGCCGGGGACATTTCCATCCCAGAACAATATGTCTGGTAAGTCTGTTGTTGTATAGCACACAAGTCAATGTCGCGATCCAGGCTAACAAAGTCCCATGATGGACCCTTCAGTTCAGTGGTTCAGTAGCGAGTAGACCCTCCACATGATCGGATGCGTTTTCGCCTTCGAGGCAACAGTTCTAGTTGTTGTAGGGCCGGGGCAGCTGTAGATGTCACAATTCATGATCCAAAACATCTTCCAGTTACACTGATCTGC